TGTTAGCTTAGCCTGCGAATCTGGAATTCTACCTCTAAGCCTGCACCGACAATACAGAATTTTAAGTTATGCATGTAGAATAAAAGCACAACCAAATCATATTATGAACTATGATATCATGTTCAGTAACGTAAGACCACTAAATGACTGGAGAAGATTACATAAACCCATTTGGTGAAATATTCAACACATCCTTGAATTAATAAATGCTTCCTTACCACACATGTTACCTTAAAGCCACTTGAGGTTTCTCCCTGGAAAGTGCCTGATATTAACATCAGAATAGATTTAACAGTCTATGGCAAGGAAGAAACTCATCCATCTCTTTATCTTCGAGAATTTAACAAAATTGTCAACTCTTATCAAGATTATATGTTTCTCTAGACCGATGGCTCAAAAAAGAATATGGGTACTGGATCTGCCTTTTCTACTGATGACGCTGAGTATGAATGGTCAATGGGAATCCACGCATCTATATACACAGCTGAACTGTATGCAATTTGGCAAGCTCTCCGATATTGCGAATTGCATACAGATAAAAATAAATTTGTTGTTATAAGCGATTCACTGAGTTCTTTAGTCAGTTTGAAAAATCCATATTCAAAACATCCATTAGTGCAGATGATACTATCAACACTGAAACATCTTGCAAACCTTGATATTCTTGTTACATTCCCATGGGTCCCTAGTCATGTAGGTATAAGCGGCAATGAAAAAGCTGATCGTGCTGCTATAGAAGCGGGAAATGAGACAACAGATAAGGTTTGGATCTCTAGTTCTAGCGACATTAACAAATATCTGAAAAAGAAAATAAATGTATCATGGCAACAGTACAATACTCACCTAAATAGAGTTCAAATGACAATTAATGGGTGGAGAGCAACACTATCACTTCCTAGAAAAGACATGACCGTTCTACATCGGTTAAGAATAGGACATACAGCAATAACACACAAGCATTTATTAACAAAACAAAAAATAATGTAAAGAAATACAAACCTTGACATCTTTCTCGTAACAATAATTTCTGTTGAAGTACTTAACCAACGACACAAAACAAAAATTTAAATTAAGAAAATTAATTACATGGAAAATAGGAAACCGCCCTTGTCCATCCTAGTTAAGAATCCCAAAATTTCGTCCTGCCAGACGAAATATCACAGCAATATTTAAACAACATACAATGTTAAATAAATATTTAATTTAATTTTATCCCTCTCTTGTTTTTGGGCCCTCAACAGGCATGCGCCCAATTACAGAGTGACCCGCATAATGCTATTTAGAGGTGCCTCTGCAGAAGGTCTTAAGTTGGTCTATACTACTCCGGTATTTACCTTACGAATTAGAAAAACTGCAGGAAAACCTAATTCGGAGTAGCCGGTAGAATGCTCGGAACTGGTCTAAGGTAATTTCCATCTCCGCCACAGATGAAAAATTCACCTCAACCCAGGTTCGAAGACCCGACCTCCGGATTTATAACCCAATGCTCTACCAATATGTAGTAAACATGTATTCAATATTTGGTGCTACTATAGGGTCAGTCATATTGGTTAAAATTCTGCTCTTCTTGGAGGATTTATCGATCAGATAAGTCTTGCGTATGTCGCCAAAGGAAATTCTCTTTGTTTCCATCAAAATATCTCCAGTAAGCAAATTGTTTCTAATGCTCTTAAAAAGGTGGGGTGTATCAAAGATGACAATCACTTCAAAATCGTCCACAATAAATGCAGGGGTTTGAACAGTCACGCCTAACATTTTATAAGCACTCTGGTTGCTTATTGTGCCTTGATCGCAAATTAAGACCTTTGGTAACAAACCCACGGTTATTAATTTTTTAATTGCAATTTGAGTTAATTTTACTAAATCAGAGCATTTAAACCCCAGTTTGTGACAAAAAGTATCCATTGGACATCTTCCATGGGGAATACATCCCACGGATCATAAACATCATGGCGTAGTTGGTTTGTACTGGTTTTCTTCCTAAAGGCCTAAATCCCCAAAACCTTCTATCAAATCAAGATCCTTGGAGTATTCTAAGTTGCTGTGGATACTCATTTCGTCGAACAAAAGAGCGGGGTTAACTGGACAGTTTTTTGGAAAATTATTGACATTTTTGGTTTATTTAATTTTTTAGTCAAATAGATGGTATTTTCACAGTAGCTAGAACTGTTAGCAACGTTGTTTTACTATTTTGCATAGAAAAAAATTCTATACATTTTATATAAATAATTTTGGAGGACCGCTAGAAATGGTTCATTTAACCTACCATCCAGGTTAAGTAAACATCTATAGTGGGTTATGTGAACATGACGTTTAATTAATGCAGTTGTTACATGTTTACATATGTATTTTAATAATTTTTAGGAAGTAGTGAAATCATAGTCATGGAAATCAATATAAAATGTCAACATATTAGCATATCTTGCGCTCAAATTTTCACTTGGAGGAGAAAATTTTGAAATAACGTCTTTCTGTAATACATAGGCAAATTCTTCAATGATTATAAATTTATTTGTGCAATTGTAACGCTTAAGAAACTGCACATCAAAACCTTTGCTATTTTTTGCTATAATTTTAGCCACATAATGTATGAATTGTGAGGCAGTTTTACCAAAGATTTTCACCAAACAATAGTTTCTAGCTTGTATGTCATCTTCTGTTGTGTCCTGATTATTCTGTAACGAATCAGAATCATCCACTGAGTAGTCTTCATCAGATTCAGATTGTCGAATTTTCATCTTCTATCAGACGTTTTGTCACTTTACGAACCGCAGCTGGTTTTTGTGACGTTTTCTTTTTTTTTTCGCGTAAATTTGCTTCGATTTCCAGAGAATTTTTTTCGGGTGCACTTGTTAAAATACAGGATCTTCCTTTCTTTCGTTGTGAAGTTTGTGGCTGCAATGTGGTGGCAGTGTGAGAAGAATAATATTCCATTGCTTTTGGTAAAGTTTAAAGCAGCAATACTTAGATGACTCTCATGGTTGTCTAATATTAAGAGCTTTGGATTTTCTGGAGTTGGTCTCTCATCCTTTGCAAAATGCTGAAGTACATGTAAAAACAATGTACTATTCATCCAGCCACAAGGAGTTGCCGCGCCTTGGCTACCAACACGAGTGTTGTTGATCATATGATCCTTAAAATTTACCCGGGGAAATACAAAAAAAGGGGGTACCTACATATTTTCCAGAAGCTCCTATAATCCCAACTATTGTAGTAAGGATACCTCGCTCTGCTGATGTCATTTGGCAAACACTTCTCTTTCCTTTTTTAGCTAAGACTTTTGGAGGCTTGTGTACTGTCGTAGCTGCGGTTTCGTTCAAGTTATATATATCTACTGCCTGTAAATTGTATATAGAAGTATATAAACAATGTAGTATACCGTTAGAGTGCACGAGTCACACATTTAGAGCCCACCCTGAACAAAAAATTTTAAGAGATTGTACTTCGCGCGCTGCCAATGCGCAGTCCCCCAACTAACCGTCCTGCTCTCTTCATTACTGTTTGTGTGCACGCGCAATTCACACGTAAAAGTTTTCACGTGACGTTAAATTAAGGGAGAAGATTAAACGCCTTAAGAAACGGATGAAACGATGTAAAGTAAAACGGGATTTAGCGAGGCCGGGTCGGTCTCATAAACGCGGGGTAAGATACAAAGGCCGCCGCCATTTGCATAGCAGCGCCATAGACAATGGATCGTTAGGTTAGGTTAGCTGTATTATATAGACAGGCAACTCAAATAAAAAAATTGGGGCATTGAAAGCGCCACTCCGTGTCTGGTTGAATAATTACTAAGCATCCCGCTCCCGCCATTAATTTGAATTCAAATTAAATTTCATTTTCTTGAGTTGTCGCACTCCTGCGCTAAACCATCACGTAACACGAAATTGACTAATATTTACATATTAGACATTAGTCAATTTAGTGTTAGCGGATGGTTTAGCGTAAGGGTGAAGACAATTGTAATATTTATATATTAAACACCAAACACTATTAATTTATTACACTTTTAAGTAGGTACTTGTTTTATTTATAAATATATAAGTAAACCTAAATATCCAAAGCTTAAGAGATAGGACTGTTATTCACAAAGTAATTAAACTAAATAAAGTTTTCTAAAACGGCGGTAAAGCTGAATTTATAGTTAACGTACCTGTAACACAGTACCGTGTCGTTACCAATTGAAACCTTACGTGTTGCACATTGGCATTTATAGCAGTGGTCGGAACGATACTACGTACCAAAATATTTTCGTATGCTTTAAATCTTTTACTTTTAGCGTTGAGTGAAGAAATGTCTTTTAGGTAGTACTAGATCTATTCGTTGAGTACTGCTCACATGTCGGGCTCTTTGAGGAGGTAGCGTAAATCACCAAAAGTTGTCAATTCTAATGTTTTTCGATACAACACTAAAAAAAAGTATTGCTATATTGATTTCAATACTTTTTTTAAAAACATATCGCAGTACTTCGATCGATAATCATTAAGTATCGTGACACATTTATCGCGATATTTCTGGCCACTGATTATAGTTACGCTTAAAGTACTATTACAAACGTTAAGGTAAAAATGTGCAGGAATTTGCCATTAGAGTGAAAATTCTCACATTCTCACCATGGTTTGTTCAAATATTGTTAAGAAAAGATGCGGCATATACATGAAATTTATAAATAATAAACAGAATGGCGGATAGCCTGTGCAATGTACACGTGACACTCTCACCATTATGAAAACTATAAATAGTACTGTAAACTTCGGTTATAACGAACCTCAAGGGACCGCGAAAATCTGTTCGTTATAACCGAAGTTCGTTATAAACAAAAATGTAAAAAAACGTATACAAGATACATTTTTAAATTTTTATTGTAAAATAAATGCAATTCCATTTTTAAAAGATACAAAAAATAAACTTTGAACCACAAATGTACATAGTACATATTTAAGTTTTAATAGACTATGTACATATGTAATTATGTACATATGTAATTATGTACTAATTACATATTAGGTTGTAGTAAGGTTAAAGTAGTCGGTAATTCTTTTCTGAACTTCTGCATTGTTTGCACAAATGTTATCTACGAATGTTTCCAACTCAACTAAATTGTTAAACAAATTTTGTGATGCACCGCGCGATTGTAAAAATTTTCGAATCTCACGTAGACATTGAACTGCGCTTGCATTCGTAACTGTTGCATCCTCCGTACTATCCTCGTCTTCGGTGTCTGAGTTGTTATCCTCATATTCTTCTATTACCGCAGACATTATTTCATCATCCGTCAAAAATTCGGAAGTTATGACACAGTCATCCACAGTAACAAATTCATCCACAACATTATCCTCGATGGCCACTCCATGGTTTCCAGAGGTAGAAGTACCAGGCGTTGTCGTCCTTTGTTGATTTATAAGCCAGGTGTGCAGTGGTAAATCGTCATCAGAGTCATATTCTTCATCCGTACTGGGAGAATAAAATCCTGCGTGCTTATAACAGTTTTTTATTGTTTGCCTTGATATCTTCTGCCAAGATTTGTGGATTAGATTTATGGCATCCAATACAGAAACGGTTACAGCCTTTCCCGAATCTATGTTTTGCACTTGCCTAATTAGCAGCGAATGACGATAATAGGTTTTGAGGGTCCATTGGCTGAAGTATAGAGCTTGTGTTTGGAGGCATGAAGACTAGCTTGATAAACTGCAATTGTTGAATTTTGGGATGTGCTGGGCAATTGTCAATTAATAACACAATTTTGCGTTTTTTTCTTTTCAGTTCTTCGTCCCATTTTCGCACGTGCTCAATGAATAACTCTGATGTCATCCAAGCTTTAGAATTTGCGCGATAATCCACTGGAAGACTTCTAACATTTTTAAAACATCGGGGGTTTTGGGACTTGCCAATAACCAAAAGTTTTCTTTTTTCTGTCCCTGACATATTGGCGCAAACCAACACAGTAATCCTCTCCTTCGACAATTTACCGCCAACACATTTTTCTCCTCGGAATTTTAAGGTTTTGTCCGGAGTAAGTTTAAAAAAGAGACCTGTTTCATCCGCATTAAAAACATCATTTTCGCTGTACTCTTCTTTAATTGTTGGCCAGACAGTTGAAATCCAGTTATCCACCACTTCTGTATTAACATCTGATGCTTCACCGAGAATTTTACCGCTGCATATGTTATGTCGCGCTTTCCATCTTTCAACCCAGCCTTCACTGCACACGAAGTTGTCTTGAACTTTTTTGCCAAATTCTTCCGCTTTTGTTCGGAGAATTGCACCACTTATTGTAACATTATTCCGTCTCTGTTGCGAAAACCATATTAACAGAGCTCTATCCACCTCATCATGTACAGATTTTCTCATTTTCTTCACTTTAACGTTTATGCTTTCAAATGCTTTTAACAGTTCATCCCGGTTCTTCCAAATTGTTGCAACAGTAGATTTGCTCAAGCTTTTTTCGCGGCACACATCAACTTGTTTTTTCCCACCTATCAACTCACGAATAATGTCACATTTAACTTGCAACGTAAACGATTGCCGTTTTTGTTTGTCACCCATTGTACACGTATCGCGGAAGCAAAACTGCATCTGCAACTGCGGGAGAGTGACTAATTGCTAAAAGCCATAAATAACTTCGGCGCAAACAAATCTTGCCGGGGCGGATGTTGACTCATTTTCGTGAAAACGTGTAATATCCTAAGGGCACTCGTACGACTGTTTACAATGGATATATGTAGTACAATAATTTTGTTCCAACGCGCGCGTTCGTTAAAACCGGTGGATTTTGTATATAAAATACGCCTAAGCGTCTATTTTTCAGTTCGTTATAACCGATTGTACGTAATAACCGGGATCGTTATAAACGGTAATTTTTAACATTGTCCTTATGGAACTATTGGCGGGACTTTCAATTTGGTTCGCTATAACCGAGGGTTCGTTATAACCGGGTGCGTTATAGCCGAAGTTTACTGTAATTCTTAAACTTAAATGTATTAAAGTTCTTACGAAAAGGGAACTATAAACCCAGCTTAAACAACCTAAATATAAGAACCTTAAAGATAGGATTGTTATCACAGTAATTAACACACACAAACTTAGTAAAACTTAGCTTATTCAATTGTTAACATATTTACAAAAGCACCACCTTCAACATACACATCAAGTTGAAATTTCTAAATGTTTTAAATCTGCCACCCTTTTTTTAATTTTTTTATTGATTTCATAAATATTCATGGCTTGTATTTTGATCGGGTCTTTTGTGAGTACATTCTCACTCCTGCCTTTTAACATTTTGTTTATATTTTTAGCCCAAGTAAGAGAATGAAAAAGGCTTATTTTCTCACAAATTATATCGAACAAATCATGTTCCTGACATATGCAAGTGAAACTTAAATTTTGTTTTAAGATTACCTTTAAAACGCATTTTATATTTTGCTTGTGACATACTTGCGGCAAAATCTCAGTAAGTATATGAATGGCAGTTTGAAATAGTGTATTAAACATTATTGAAGGAGTTGTCAATGGGCGCCTATTTTCTATCTGATATTCTTGAATAATAAATCTCTCTTTCAAAGATAATTCATTTAACGACCCCACAAGCTGTTTTTTACATAACACACAATTGTTTATTTGTTTTATAATACTTCTCACAACACTTCCTGCAACATATGTTGAAGTGGCAGTTCTTTGTAAGGACTGGTCACTTAATTCACTTGATAAATTAACGTCTGGTACTTCGAAATGCACATCTGATGTTTGTTGTGGAACACTAATCAAACTTTTAAAGGAATCTAACACTGATGAATCGTCTTTTTCACAATTGGCACTAGGTGAATGTACAGAGGTTAAATTATTTAATAACAAAGTTCTAAATGAATATGTAAAAGATTGGCAGGTTGGATTAATGTTCCGGATACCGTGGCTTCTAATAGCTCCAAAAAAGTTTTCTAGAGGATCTTGATTAATATTCCGGCAGGATAAATAGGTGACACCTTCTTTTTGGAATTTCTTCCATAAATACCGAAACCCTTTTAGGGTGTGCACCCAATTATGAATTGTTGGGGGTTTGTACTTGCTGCCATTAGATCGTAAACATCTCATAGATTCAAAAACTTTTAAAGCTTCAAGCCAGAAGTCGAAATGTGGAGAATCCTTGCTAACTGCACATCTGAGTCGGTTCTCTTGCACATACTTTGACCCATTTACGCTATCAAAGCATTTATCCATAAAAAGAACCAACTCTGCAGTTTCTGTAGCGTTAGTAGGTATGTTGTGTGGTGCTGCAAAAAAAATATTTGTATTTAATTGTTACAAAAGTACTTGCAGATGCAAATCATATATGGGTACTGTTACGTAATGTTTGATAGTAACAATTAAAAAAGTGATCAAAGACTCTGTATTATTTTAATGAATCTAGTTTGAAAAAATAGGTAAATTAAATATTTAATAAATTAATAAAAGAATAAATAAACCGAGAAATAAATCAATTCATATACTTACACAGACGTGCTAAACCACGTAATAGAGAAGCCACTCGCTTACTGAAAATTTGGGCAGCATACGCAACTTTCATTTTTTTTCGATTTTGAATATGTAGATTTGTGATTTTATGAAGCATTCTATAATCTGTGTCTTCTTCTACTTGATCAAGGGAAACAAGGTTGGCAATATGCTCCCATTTGGCCGTCATAGTTTTTCCCTTTATTTCATATTCAATATCGTGGTCAAAAAGCAGGTTCCGCATACATTTTAATAAATGTGGAGGGTCATAAAGGGGCACAATTTCCTTATCATTCACTAAAAAACCAAATAATCTATTTTCTTGATCTCTTGACTTGAAAATTCTATTTGTCTCTGAGTACAATAAATTTATAGCGGACCTATTAGGTGCTCCTTGATCACAAACTGTGCCAATTACTTCCAATCCAGCGCTTTGTGCAGCTATGATGTTGGTTTTTAAAGTATGAGCTATCATATCTGATTTCATGCCTCCTTTATTAAAATAAAAAGAAAGAGGCTGCTTCCATTTTTTAAAGATACCGCGAGCCATGAAAACCATACCCTTGTCTGCGATAATTGGAACCTTTGTGGATTCGGTACCGTTATCTTGGAATCCATCAAACGAGTCTGCACCAGTATTATATTGAATTGATGGCTCTAAGGCTATCTCGTCAAAAATAATAATGCAATACCTATTCCGAGGATCCATCTTCTCAGCAGTTAATTTTAAATGATCAAAAATGTGAACATTAACTCCTGCTTTAAAGGGAACCTTGTGCAATAAATTTAACAACGTCTTTCTTGATGGCAATGCAAAAATGAGTTGTAAAAATTTATATCCCTTCGGACTCTGCTTCATTACTGCCAGAGCAAAAGTTTTGTCTGCCAAAGTATACCTTCTACCTTTTGGAGAGATGGCTTGATTTTTTAACTGTCCCATAAAAAAAATAGCTGAAGTTTCATTTAACTTTAGTTTTAAAAAATCTTCTGATAATAGGACATTTTGTGCTTCTTTTAAACGTCGTTTTGTTGTAGCCAGTTCACGATCCAGTCGCTTCGCGGTTTTTCTAATATTTTGTGCCACTCTATAAATCTGTTGGGCTTCTATCGGAACATCCTTGCTGTGTCTTAATTTTCCAGTTTTTAAAATGTTCATTTTCTGTCTTAAACCTGCAAGTAAGGAGTTAAATTAATGGTGCATAATTATTCAAATGAAATTTCGTGAATTACATAGATTATGTAACTCATCCACCACATATTTATTTACTGACTATACCTTATTAGAAATTAATTACCTTTCCGAGAAGATTGAAAACTGCACTTCCGCAATGAAGTATGAGAGGTGTTGCCTGCTTCGACTGATATTGGAATGCAAACAGGAAAACTTGATGTGAATTCTAAAATACACTCAGAATTAAATTGTGGATTTCAAATTTACAACCAAATGAGTTTAGTTTTTGAATAAAAATGACAATATTAATATTTCATTTCAAAAACTATAAACAGTTATGCAGTGTTTTCATGAAACAATAGTAATTAACTTGTTGAAAAAGCACAATTTTCATCTACCAGTAAATTTAATCGCCCAATAAGTACTACAACAACGATTGTGTCAACAATTGGTAATCATGTAATTTACCGGGAGATTCAAGTTATGGGGAGGTGAAAAGACCGAGTCTAACATTGACTAATTTGACTCAAGAGAACACTGCTTTAGTTGTAAATTTAAGATATGCAAATTAATTCAAACTATTTGATTCAATAACATTGCCCTCCAAGGCTAAAACGAACATGTAGCATGTAATATTCATTGAAATTAAAACTATACCTGTAGGCAATGTAGGGGATTCACATTGTGGTGTTGATACAGATGTTGAACATTCTGCTTCTTCCATATCTAAAACACATGTGTTATACTAAAAGAATCACAGCTGACTAGCTAAAATATGCTATTCATAATAATCCATTGGGGTTTTTGTTTATAATCCTAATGTGATTCACTGACTGAAAATTATACCAGTGAAGCGGAATGTATCATACCTTGTCTCTCGCGTTGTCTGCATATTCCAACATTTAGAACAGGTACAGCATCATATTTTAAATTTGACCCTCTCCTGCCACATGGGATGATTGAAGATTCATCAAAATGATTATGGCACACCCTGTATGTTTTATAAATAAAGGTTCGATCTTTCTGATGCAGTAAGGAAGATGAAATAGCATTAAGCCACTGTGTTTGTAACTATAATAAATGCAAAAAACTTCAATATTTATATCTATACCATAATAGGTACATCTTAAACTTACATGTGGATCCTTCGGAAATCGATGCATTTTAATACCTTGCCCGCTTCTAACCTTACATGTAGGTACACAACAATAAATAACCATTTTTCTGTTAAAATAATAAGCACTATTTAATTATTAATAGCCAATGTCCTTTATCCTCAAAAAAAAACGACACGCTTGTAAAATATAACGACACGTAAACTTTCACACACGCTTTCACAAACATGAAACTTAGGTTAGAAAGCATAAATCTCAACACGTGATGTGGCGGGCAAGCGGTTTATTTAAATTTTAAATAAAAGGTAGAAGAGGTGGTAGATAGCAGCGCTAAAGTCGTCTGGTTGACAAACTAATTCCTTGAACCAATTTGTCCATTACAGTTATCCACCCCTGAGCAGCGCGGAGCGCTTGAGATCCCGTTCGCCGGTTGATATTCGGCCTTCATCTTCACGCGTCCCAGTTTCGGACTCGGACGCTAGTGATTCTGCTTCTTTAGCAGGCACGTTTAGTGGGTCAGACGCGGAGCGTCTTGCGACCCCAGAATTATCACCTCGGATTTCAATTACGCGACCTGCAGTTAACCTTGAGAAGAAATGCGTGGAGGTCATGTCAAATTTTTTGATAGATAAGCCGGCGTGCGCTGCGCCTATGCAGCAAGAAGTTGCGGACGTTTTATTCGCATTAACTAGAAATGGGCTTCCGGAGGAGGTTCGTAAGCAGTATCTGCTTAAATATGTCAGGCCTTCAAATTGTGAATTAAACCCACCTGTTCTGAATCCCGAGGTGAAATTTAATTTATCTAAGAGCGTGATTGACAGGGATGACAGGTTGGTCTTGGGACAAGACCAATTACGAGCAGGGCTTGCTGCATTAGGTAAAGTGCTCACGATTATGTCTTCGGGGGAAATTAACTCACAGTTCGACAATATTTTTGAGCTTGTTTCCGATGCCTGTAAATTGGTGGCGGATATTTTCTTTCGAGAAAGTAACATAATAGTCCGGGAGCCAGCTGACATTTGAGGGTCGTTATAGTAAGAAAGCTGGAAATTTTTTTTGGCGTCTATTTAGATGCACTGATTAACGAAATAAACGTCAGCTGGCTAGATAGCGGTG